GGAGATCACATATTTTATATTGATTGTTTGCAGTAACAAACATGTCTTGTTGGGTGTTGTCTTGCCCCTGCAAGTCGAGCCAAGAAAACCTTTAATGTAATGTATAATAATCCTAACCTTCCGGTTGTCCAGTGTGAAGCAGACGAGGTGGTATCGGCAGCCCCACTGGCCCCAAGGGATACGATCGTGCTCACGTGACCACGTGACGTCAGCTTGTGACGTTTGAGGAAGTTGGCGATCTCGTTGTTGAGGAGGTTCACCTCTAGTGATATGGTGCGGATCGTGTCGTTCTTGGCACTCACTTCCTCCTCAAGACCTTTGACCTTTATTAATAAATAGCATTTGTATTCGCAAATTACAACTCAAACACAAGCTCTAAACAGTCTACAATATATAGGCCTATAATAATCTACAATTCTAATGCTAGTAGACTTGACAGCATTCTGAAACAGTATCAATTTCCTGGAAAGCATAAAGTAGTACACACTTCCATTTTACAGGCACAAAAAACTAACAACTTTCGCTGTTTATGGCCATAATGTATCCATTCACACCTGGGTGAAGTGAGGAAAATTCATGTAAAGTGCCTTTCTCAAAGACATAAAAACGGACCGAGCTGCGCTTCGAATCCACGAACCCGAAACCTCACCATTGCGAGTCCAGATGATGATGATGATGATGATGATGATGATGATGATGATGATGATGATGATCATGATGATGATGATGATGATCATGATGATCATGATGATAATGATCATGATGATGATGATCATGATGATGATGATCATTGTTTGGTAAGCAGAATTGGAGGGAGAATCTTGTATGAATTTCAGACAAAATAACATAATATAAAATGTTTTAAATTTGTTTAATAGCTCAACGTTTCGCCTTGTGGGCTTCCTCAGGAACATGATGATGATCATGATGATGATGATTACAATAACAATAAAAAATGCATTTATTTGATATGACGACGCATATAATAATATACATAGTATATTCATACCACGCCTTAACATAGCTTTCCCCTTTCTTTGGCTTTTCGACATGTTATGTTTCTCGCTCTCACCATTGAGAATTGTGACTGTGACGTATGTGTAAGTACTTTAGCTCTTCTTTTTTTAATGTTCCTGACGATGCCCTAAAACGGTAAAACCTCAAACTTGAAATTATAACGGTTTTTTGTTTGTGTGTGTGGTCTTTTTGTAGTCTACAATGATGATGATGATGATGATGATGATGATGATGATGAGGAGGAGGAGGAGGAGGAGGAGAAGGAGCCTTTTGGACCTGGACATTGTTTGTGTTATTTGTGACTACGAAATGTTTATATTTTTAGGACCCTTTCTTGACCCTTACGTAAAGCAGATTATAAATAATATAAGCATTTGGTGATAATGTCAGAAACCGTTTTATTAGAATACTATATTATTTCATCTATCAAGCAGGACGCACCTTAGCCTCAAAACTTGTATTGTTGAATTGTGCTGCCTGTTGGGAACGATAGTCATCTGTGCGACTCTGTGAACAGAGGAAAATCTGGGTGTGTTATTGGCGAGGACATCATGTAACATTATGATTGTATCGGACAGTGCTGTTTCCCAGTTAAAGTGTGAGGCATCGTGGTAAAATCAGGCGTTGGTCAAAGTAATGAAATCGAAGAAACCTGTAATTTTTCCTACACTTTAGCAATTTTTATCGTATTTTTATTCCTTTTGTTTTGACTCAACCCTTTTAATGTCAACATAAGAACACATTTCCTAGTGAGTTTTACTTTAAAAACGCTGATTAGTGACACGAAATACGTAAATTTCTAGTTTTTAAGGACTCTCAAGCATTGGAAGTTATCAAACTTTGGCGTTCATTTTCTCACAAATTTTACCTCTGATACCAGGCTACCCCCACCTACTTCATTTGCAAATATTTTTACCTCTATTCACGGTAGATGAGCATTAGTTCATATAAATCAATGCAAATAAATAAGCTTTTAGGTGATATAAATAAGTACAAATGCTTGAAAATTGACAAGCGTCTGATTCCACTGCGTCGTGACATATTTAATTCTCTAGATCTATATACCCACCGATGTCTGTGCTGTAGTGATTAAGCGCCTAACTGTCACATACAGAAAACCTGAGTTTGATCCTCATATGGGGAGAAAATTATTATCAAGTATCTAGTTCTTTTTGCTTCGATGTTGTATCCTTCTCAGCTTGGATCGGCCCTGACAGGCCTCCTAAATGATCTAAATTATTAAATTGTGTATTATGTTGACGGGAGCGTAGAAAAAATACTGTATCTTAAAATGAAAATTACATTTCATTTCTCTAGTCGAAATGTTTGTATATCGACATCAAATCAACTTCCCAAAGTATATCAATATAAGCGGATTATACTGTGTGTTAGTATAAACTATAAAGTAAAAACTTGACATTATATTTCTATGTAACCTGCAAGTGCTCGAGTCTCTTGAAGGAGTTCTGCCTCCAGTCCGACTTGAGGACTCTGTACTTGACCTTGGCTTCAAGGGAGACCACCACTCGCTTCAGCTCCTCCGGGGAAAGGGATAGCTTGAGGGCCGGGATGGAAGCAATGTCAGACTCCTCCACCAGGGGGGCGTGACTCGTGTCTGGGGCAAGGTCATGGGTGATGGGGGGATAGAAGTATTAGAAGCGGGGCTGCTGTTGTTGTTGTCGGCGGTTGTGGTGGTGGTGGAGGTGGCTTTGCTGTTGTTGTTGTTGTTGTCGTCGTTGTCGAGCTATTGTTATTGTTGTTGTTGTTGTTGTTGTTGTTGATCTTCTTCTTCTTCTTCTTCTTCTTCTTCTTCTTCTTCTTCTTCTTCTTCTTCTTCTTCTTCTTCTTCTTCTTCTTCTTCTTCTT